GAATTCATAGTCATAATAAGGGAGACAGTCTAACACACCACTAAAGTAGATCCAATATAACGTAATGGTCCTTCGTATGGTGCAGAGTTGTTTTTTATCGATTGATTTTTATCGCTTCCCCAAGTCGTAGTAAATGGGATCTTTGATCCTAAAAATTGAAAAGATTTGTCGCGATCGTCTTTCTGACATATTGCTGATAGATATCATGCGATTCACCATACACAAGTTTTGTTGAATCGATTCCTTTTCTCGTTCGTGATTGCGTAATAACTATAGTGCTGACCTCGGCTTGAACCTCGTTCAGGGTGGGCTTGGCTGCTCGATTATATAAATGTCCGTTCTACCGACGCGGGTGGCTCCGTACCCGCATTTTAATTTTTTAGCCGTCGCCGTCGCAAGTTGCACTGTGAAGTATTTTTGGGGAGGCAGTAAACAAAGTGAAATCGTATGTGTGAATGATATTTTATTCGCTGTATTTTTTTCTCGGCTAAATTGTTTGTTCTCTGTTATTGGCTTGCCTTTCAGACTGTACTGCACGTACCGAGATAATAAATTTGTCTACATGCTCATGGAGGCTTGTCTTGGGGGTGAATTGTGGACGGTCTTGCGCAATCGGTGAGTCCTTACTGCTCTTTGGTTGGTGTGTATGATTGTGCGACGGAATTGATTTGTGCAATTGTTGCTCTCATTTTAGCAAATTCAGATACAGACAGATAGACTTCATTTAGTGTAAAAAAGTGCCTTTGCAATCAAAATATCCCATCTACACTTGTCCAGTCTGATGTGTACACTTTTGCCACTTATTACTCCATATGACCTCAGGGTTATTGCTTGTTTATTTCTTCAAAATTACCTAGTAGTGAAATATATTCACGAATGATACATGTTTCAACAGAAGCACTTTTTGTCTGTTTGACACATTCGGGACACGTGCTTGTTGTCCCATCAGCCTCCTTGTGTTTGAGCTGAAAGATTTTTAACAGCCGACGGTTAATTCAGATTAATAATGTACGGCATGACGTACTTGGGCAATTGACCAAAGATGCCGTCTTTCTATCTTCGCTGAAAACACGGGCAAACAATCATCCTCAGGCATTTACGCATGGAGCCATGCGTCACACGAATTGATATTGTGCGTAGATCCCTGATTTGTTGGTTGTGTAAATCGGGCTAGGTGGAGATCCGAATCAGTAAGATGGGAAGAATGAGATGAATCACTTGGTCAATCACTTGTCAAAAGGAGAACGATAATCTGTCGATCATGTCTATTAAAAGCTTCAGAAGAAATTACAACCGAATAAGATCGTTTGCTGTCAACGTGTGTGCGCCGACAGCAAAGAAACCTGTGAATAAAACCAAAGTTTCAGACCAACAAATAAGGCAAAATCAGAGCATAACACACTCCATGTTAGTGAGTTGAATAAAATCATTCCCGCGGTTCTTATTGGACTATCAGCTTCTGTTCTGTCTCCCAGTTTTTGATGTCTTGTCCACTCATTCACATCCATTCATTCAACATATCTTTCCCCGTTGTCCCCCCGCCTATCCGCTCACTCATCAGTCATTCATAAATTCACTTGTACAATAAGTCGCTCATTACGTACTATACGACACCTACGCTGTCCTAAAATGTCGCATTAAACTCCACTAGGTGCTATCTGCATCCGACATTCCAGGGTGGATATTCCAGTTTGATTGATGACAGTTTCGACTACTGTACCTATTTCATTTCTCTCACCCATTTGTCCTGTACCGTATCCTCATCGTATTGCTAGTCCTAAGAAAGCTGGTCTGTTTACACTTTACATGCTGTCACCGCTGTGCACAATAATAACTGATTCCGCAGTTCGAATCAGATCTTTCGACTGATCCAAAGACCACATCACAAACATCGGTGGTTACGACTGCGTCCGTTTGCACGCTCTTAGGCGTTTATTTTACTTTATATTTGAATATATGTATATATATACATGATGTGCCCCAGGAGTGACTGATCTAAAGTAGAAATTAGCTGTGAGGCAGTGAAAACGAACTAATTGAGGTGATTCATCACCCGTTCACAACGTGTACTCTACTCTAATGGTGCATTAACTTCGTTTAACCGGTTGCAACATGAAAAAAAGATCCGTGATTAACCAAAG